TCTTTACAGACACTTCAAAGTCTTTCTCTTCTGTGTCATACGCAGCGGTCGGTCCATCTTGTTCGGAGGCCGGCATTATGTATCCCGATACAAGCATTTCCACTGCAGAAGCTTTTTCTATATTTTCTACCATTCAACACACTGAACATTTAAAACTACAGAAAGCAGTAACTTACACAGATTTTCTAAGCATGGTAAAAGATCTGCCAACTCTTAAAAAACACATAAAGTCTGTCCTTGTCTTGCTGTATTGAATATTATACAGAGTCTTTAAATCCAAAAAGCATCTCATGCTGCCCTGGTACCGCGAGATCTATCGGAACGTAATGGTGGACCAGCTAGCCACATCCGTCCACGAAAGCGCTGCCAATTGATATATACCCGCCTCTGTGCTTGTGATTTGAGACCTTTCTTTAAATGAAAGCTCAAGGCTTGTTGGCAGAACACCTGGGATAGATACACACAGAACAAACTAAATGTCATCAAGTTGTATCTTGGTAATTAGCTTCCATTGTTGAAATCATGCCACTGAGAAGTTACACTCACGAGACTAAGAACAGGGTATACACACAGTATACATTCACACCTTTTCTCGTCAAAGTCTCTCGTCCTCGAACGTCCCGCCCGTCTGGCTCTCGGCAAGAAGGTAAGGCCGATCTATCCTGGCAGGCTCGCCAAAATTTGTGGGCAACTGTGGGCACAGGTTAGCCAGATGAGGACAGAGGACGTTCGAGGACAACGAGAGACTTTTATATACACGAAGACGGACAAATGGATACACACAACATAAACTCACACATATATACACGCGTTCACGGTCCTACGCGAAAGGGAGTTAATGTTCTTGTTCGTCCACTCACATTCTACTCTTGGGGCGTGAACGTTGCGCTTGACTTTGAGCTCTTTGGTAGTCAGGAGGCGGTGTGCCTTGTGCTTGCGGAGCTCGCACCAAGGCGGAGGCCCGGTCTAGAAGATAACCGCCAGGGGCATCCCAGTACGGTGGTCAACGACTGGGCTTGCCTGTACATCACCGAGAACAGCGAACCGCCGACCGCCGCGAACAGACCTGGGACAGCGTCTCGCTCCGAGACCAGAACAGCAGCTGGCCGTGACGAACGTTGCTTCAGACCAATGTGGGGGTGAGATGGGGCGATGCCCAGTCCAGGACGCACCCGAGGACTTCAACGCCGAGACGAGGCCCGGACACGGAGGGTCAGAACGAGCAGCCAGGGCGTGGCCCGAACTTGTCCTTGCGCTCTGCTCTCTGGGGTTAGCTGAGCTGTCCCCGTGGCTCGGGAGCTTTTTCACATGGTACGCGCACGAGCACGCGCATAGGCGCGCTCATAGTTTTACCGCGATCACCATCATGATGATTCCCGCGCACCTTGAAATACTAAATCGGCCCCCCACACCGATTTTCTACGTCAAAGCATGACGCACACTCTCCAGGGCAGCGTTTTTTTGCCACAACGGTCAACTTACTGTTAGCTTACCGACAGCTCATACTGACTTCATCCTCAGATGTTCACTGGTAAAAAAAATGCTTCTTAAATATATGTCATTTTTTGCGTTTTTTAGATATAATTCTTGCTTTCACATCATATTGTCGCATCACATCATAATATCTAAAGGAAATCCATAGCATAACCTCTCCACAGAGGTTGTTGCTGCAGTAGCTACTCTGAGAAGCACCATCCTCTCGTTTTTGGTTTTAAAGGCATTCAGGAGACACTCACGCTGCTTTATAATCACTCACTTGCAGAAACCATGGTCATTTGTAATTCATTTCATACCCATACATCACATCGTGTATCACTGTCATAATTTTATAGTTTATGCACACCTCTATACAGCACATGTTTTTAGGCCTCTATACAGCTGTAATACACCCGGTCATCGCAATAATTGGTCATGGCTTACATCACACAAAAGACATGGCGCTCTTCGGCCACCCATGGCCCTTGCGCCACAAAACTCCACTAATCATCATATTGCATGTATTGCTTCGGCCTTGTGCTGAAACTGAAACTTTCTCTTTAAATTCATTTTTTATTTTCATCTTCAACTGCTCTAAATTGAATCACCCTATGTGCAGAACTTGTTTCTTTCTTTTTTTTTTCAAAAGTATATATTATTTCACCTGACAAATTACTGAAAAAGTAGTCATTCAGGTATGGCCATAACAGTAATTAAAATATTTCTAACAATCAAGACTGGTTTGTGCTAATAGTAAAAGTAAGTTTCAGTGTTCTGCAATGTTTGTGCTGGCTTAACAGTGTTCTGTGGACTGTTGCAGATGTGTTTATCTCTTCAATGAAGAAGCAAAGTTGCATACTTTGGATATTGACAGGAATGGAGTGCACCTGCCCCTTCGTAGAATCTATGCACCATTTTACACTTATGTTGGAGCTTAATGCATTATGAACATGAGAATGTGACGGTGATGTTAAAATGTTTGTGGACTGCTAAGGACTGGTTGCATTGAAACGAGGGAAACTCGCCACGCAGTTTCTGCGTTGTTATTCAAATGAAATTGGGAAGACTTTAATTATTCTATTAAGATGTATGTGTCGAAAGCTATGGTGTAACGAAATTGTGCCTTCCTCACGAAGCACAGCTTCAGTCTAAATAGTTATTAAAGCACATCTTTACTCAACTATATACACTATGAGAAACAGTTTCATGAATAAGTAACTGCAATGTTCCATGCTTGTTATTGGCACTTTGACATTATTCTGCAATATACAAATAATAGTAATATAGCAGCAGTGTGGTGTTACCTCATCATTACTTTTCTTTGTAAAACCCTTGTGCGTCTCTCTCCGACTAGTGCTCAACAATATATTCTAATAATATTGACAATCAAACTTTATTTCTTTCACAGTGTCTCATGCTAAGTAATAATCATTTATGTTTGATTAAATGTTTCTATGTTCTTTTCTGCCACCAAATGTTTCATCATTTTTATTATATTGTTCGCTCACGACATCATAGTATATCGTGCCGCCAAAGTGACGAGCAACAGCAATCCTTATAATCTGACCACTTAATGGTGTTTATCATTGCCTATCAGGCTAAATCACTGCAAGATTAACCTCGTCTCCTTTACAAGAAATTCCAGCCACATCCCAACCAGATGCACATTCATTTGCACACAAAAAGTAAGTCACGTTGTACAGATATGTAGGACTACACCTATGAACCAACCTTTCCTGGAACTGTCATGTCGATTACATTTTTGCAGCTACTAAATGCTGCCATGGGATGCTGAAGCGTAATCTGTGTCATGCTCCTACACATGTGCAAAAACTTTCATATGTTAACCGAACGTGCCCTAAAATTGGCAAGGCTTCAGTCTTATGGGATTTGTAACCAGCGTAATGTAATTGATAACATAGAATCTCTGCATAAGTCTGCTGGTTACGCTAATTTTCTCTGACTATTTTCCTTTCACCTTATCACGGCCCTAAAATCTCATGCGAGTGTTGATAACCTATCCCATTATTGTAAGCTTGCTCCTTTATCTCTTTTGCATACATACTATCATTATCCATTGCTTCATGATGACTTCTTTCAGTAACCTCTAGCCATGTATCACATGCCGTACCTCATCTTTTGCTGATTTGTTCATTTCAAAAACGATGAAAAAATGGAACCAGCTGCCTTGAAGCATTGCAATAAAAAGCAACATTTCAATAATTAATGACAAAAATTATAACCAAGTTTCATTTTCATTTTTTTTATATTGTGCTCTATTATTATGTTATTCTGTCATATTGTATTGTATTTACAAATATTTTTTCAATATTTCCAATGTGTTGTGGTTTGGTGTTGTCATTTTCTATATGCTTAAGCAAGTGTTGTTTTGTTTGCAATTTTTTTATGCTTGATGTGTATCTGTTGCATTGTATATATATTTCTTTTTTCCCACTGTCTTATGTAATACATTTTTTTTTTGAGGGCCTTTAGAGGTTTCTTGAAATAAGTGAATTCTTGCTTTGATGTTGAATTCTTGCTAGTTTGTACGGCATGACGATAGTTATAGTGGGAGTATAAAACGACGACACAGAGACAAGGTGTCCTTCGTGTCCTTCTTGTCTCTGTGTGGTCGTTTTATTCTCGCGCTATAACTATCGTCTTGCTTTGATCATTCATTTCTCATTTTTCGTTTTGTCTCAGGTGATGCCTAAAGCACATTTATAGTGTGTTGAGCTCAGTGCTTTGTTTCATGTGACCATTTTGGCATCGGAAAGTGGTCTTCTAAGCATGAATCAATGTATAGAGATTGTCGAAGTTGAGTGTATATTGTTAAAAATTGATAAAGTTGGATATGTAGTGACAAGTTTGTGTAATTATGTAAGTATGAAACGTTATGTGGTGGATACCTGACTTTGTATTCTATGGTGAATTGTACTTTCATTCAATCACAATGGGGACAGTAATGGAAAGCGTATAAACAGTGCTATTGTGCTCATAAATTACCAATGTCCTGTACCATCTACATAAGTGCCACATCAGTTGACCACGAAAAGCTGTGATGCCACTCGGCTCCTTGCCAACGATTTTAATATCTTACTCCTTATGCTTCATGTGTTAAAATTTGAACATATTCTGTTGCTGTGGAGCATCACATTGAAGTATAATAAGTACATTCAATGTAATGCTGCTTAATGTTATGGCATATAATTAAGACATTTGGCTGTTTAGGCATAGTATTGTAATTGCATCTAAATCGAGCCCTTGTGTATTTGTAGGTTTTACCGTATATTAGGTGGAGAATTTACTTACAGATAGGTGGGAACTGTTGTAAAACGTGTCATGTCATCGCACAGTTACATCTGCACTAACATACAGTTTGAACAGGCAAACATAATTTTGTACTTTATTTACAAGTGCTGCAACATTCTTTTATTACCTGGTACTGTAGTTCACTTGCAGACAATGTAGGTAATATGGTTTTCAATGCTCTTTCTGTTCTCTTTGCATGATCTCTTGTGCAGCATCCCATGAGCAGGACCATTCACTCATGTCCAAAGAAGGTGGACTGTACTCCTGCCGACAGTGCACCTATGTTACCAAGAGCAGTGGAGTCATGCGAAGACACCTTCGCAAACACACCGGCGAACGGCCCTTCCGGTGCCACTTGTGTCCAGCTGCATTCCCTGAACGCAGGCATCTTGATAACCACATTCGTACACACACAGGAGAGCGTCCCTTTTCCTGTGACCAATGCAGTGCATCTTTCTCAACGAAAACTGGCCTCGTGAACCATATGCGCACCCACACAGGAGAGCGTCCTTATTCCTGTGAGCACTGCAGTGCGTCTTTTTCATGTAGCTCGAACCTCAAGTGTCATGTGCGCACCCACACAGGCGAGCGCCCTTTCTCCTGTCACCACTGCAATGCATGTTTTTCAAGGATATCGAGCCTCAAGTACCACGTGCACACCCACACAGGAGAGCGCCCTTATTCCTGTGACCACTGCAGTGCGTCTTTTTCATGTAGAGCGACCCTCAAGGAGCACGTGCGCACTCACACTGGAGAGCGCCCTTTTTCATGTAACTACTGCAATGCATCATTTTCGAGGAAATCCCGCCTGATAAGCCACCTGTCTCGTCATGAAAACAAGAAACCATAAAAAGTGAGTGGCCTGCTTGTTTTCTTTAAGTGGGTAGAGGTGTATCAAGTGGAAGGAGCTTGTTAGTAAGAGACATGTGCACCCATATCAATGGAAGATTCAGCAGATGTGCCATCAAGATGTATTGCAAGTGTGTTCTTGTTCAGGCGTAAGGGCAGCAGAGGATTTTTGGTTAATGTCGACAGGGCAGCTTCATCTGCAGCAGCTGCACAGCCAGGTACATGTGGCTGTTCAACAACGGTGAGGGAGAGCGATGATGCATGAGTCAACGGGAAGGGCGACTTTGAGGGGGTGACAATGAAAAAGTGCGGCCGTAGTCCTCAGGGGTGGTAAATGGAGACCTGGTGCTGATCGGGTACTCATTGCAGGACGGATAATGGTTGTTCGTTGGACGGAATGGGTTACTGTAAGTCGGACACAGGCCTTAAGGTGTGGATAGCCACTGGCTGCGATAGTGATGAGCAACATGTCCCACGCGACCACAGCGGAAGCAGATTGGCTTATGATCAGGTGTTCGCCACTTAGACGGGTTTCTGGTTCGAAGGGAGTACAAATAACAGCATGTCGTATCTATGGAAGCTATTGAGGCATCAGTATTGTTCAGGGCGCATACAGTGGACAAGAGACCTGGGTTAGCAAATTCCTGGCGGACAACAGCCTAGATCAAGGAGGCAGCTGGCGTTGAGGTTTCGAACATGATCAGTTTGTTAACAGTCGGGTGTGTGGCTTTGAGTTCATGTTGGAGGATGCGCATCATGTCTTCAGTTGTAGACGGCTGACAACAGGGGGCTTCGCTAGATGAAGTTGCAGCTGTTTGGGTAGGCGGTGGAACTGGTGCAAAATGCGTCGTCTCTTTGCCTGCACGAGACAACGGAACTCTTTCATCATGTATGCAGTCAACAGTCATTACATTTGTAAAGACTGGCAGGTTTAACGCATCATTGGCGATACCTTTCAAAACAAGTGAGACCCTGTCAGCCTCGGCTCTTTTGGCATCAACCTTTTGGCACAAGGCTAACACGTCTTGACTGTAGGTCAAGTAAGGCTCGGTGGACGTTTGTGTATGTACGGCCAGTTGTTTTGAGCATCAAGCTATTGCCCAAATGAGTTTCCAAAAAGGTAGCAGAGTTGTGTAAACATTTTCCAGCTTGTGACTTCGTGCTCGTGGCTCTCAAACCAGACGCAACGAGTCTTGTTGAGATAGAATAAGACATTTGCGAGCATGACGGTTGGAGCCCGGCTATACTGCTTGCTGAAATGCTCGTACATACTGAGCCACTTGTCCACATTCATGTTCTCTCCAGGAAGGCTACCGGGATCACGATGTCGCGTTAAGGCAACAGACCGGGCTGCTGTCATCGGAGTTGCAGAGTTAGGTGGCGAGGGCCTGTATTCACCCAGAGCCATGTTAGTAGACTTATAGAGGTGTCCACTGTGCAGCTCCATCATCAAAAGAGAGCACCCCCACTTCCTTCAATATGCTATGTGGAAATAACAGCAGTCAGTGCGTAATCACAGCACAGCTCACACACAATGTCAACTTCTTCACTTCTCGTCCGAGGTGCATTTCAGGGTATGTCCAACTATGCTCCGTTACCGTGAGCGGAAACCACGTAGGAATATGATACAGTCATCAGCATAGCCTCTCACAGCAGATGTAAGGCCATTTGGAAAATCGTTTATGAAAATCTAAAACTGCTGTGAACCCACAACCAAGCCCCAGGATATAACAGGTGGCACATTTGCAGATGATGGGGCCATGCCATATATAATGACCCATTGTTGGCAGTTTGTCAAACAGTCCTCCGGCCATTATAGGAGCTCTGAAATTCCCAGGAATGATAACTTGAAAACTAAATTATATGGCACTACAAAATAAAGCAAAACAGCTTCACTTTCTGTATCTTTTCTTAAGCATATATTTATGTCATCTATGAATGTAATTGCATTATACATGAAAACTCTGCTCAAAAATCTTGTTGAAATGTTTGTAAGAAATAGTTATTTTAAAACAGTTTTGTAAGGCATGAATAAATGCTGTGCTCAAGCATTTCTCAAAAGATTGGTCTTTACCAACATACTTGTACTTATTTGCAGTCTTTTTGTATTGGTGCCTTGTTTGCCATTTTTCAGTCAAATGGAACATTTCTTTGTTGCAGGGATAAACCATATAGAATAACTAAAAAGTCATAGCTTTCCTTCAAAGGCGAAGCAATAAACGCGATTGCAACGATTTGAAAGGTCACACGCAGAATGGAAAGCAGACCGAAACGTGCCCCGCATTTTTCGTGCAATAATTACGCATGAAACATATTCACAGGTACGGATGCACGTAAATAAGGGTGTCATTTGTTACTTCGTTCAGTGTGAAAAGCAGGCGCTTTTTACAGACGGAGGTTGCATTGATTGCAGTGGCTTTTGTGCGCCTGGTAACTACAGCAGAATCGTTCCACGTAATGTCGGAGGCCCGCCAAGGCGTACGATCCTCCCCTCCTCACCACTGCGAGATAAGGGCATGCGAGGGAGTGTTGCTCCCCTTCTCTAAGCCGGGCAAAGTACGTGTAGGAGATTAGAGCGGGCGCCACTACGCGATGTGGCGACGTGCGCTCATTGCGCCATCTTTCTGGTAATGTCGAAAACACAGCAGCGGTAAGTGGTAGATATAAATGACGCCGTCTGAACAGTGAATAACGTTCTCTCTCCGGGGTGGCTCCGTGGTTAACGCCTCGCTATCACGATGCAGAGGTCCCACGTTCGATTCTACGCGCCGGAGTGTTTTTTTATGGATTTTTTTCTTTCTCGGGTTTTTATATATATAGATACGTATGCATATAAGGTGCATCACATCGATGCCGGCGGCAAAATCCAGCCGAGAGTGTCCATATAATTGCCATCGCAATAATATACACAAAAGTAGTCTTGTATTTTTTTATCATCACAACTTGTCATGCTGGTATCAGCATTGTAAATATTTTTCTCCTTATCGCATATCCAATTTTCTTTTCAGATTATTTTTCACTCACACTTTATTCCATACGCTTCATGTATTGAAGTGATGCTTCTTATGTGTATCACGGTTTAGGTACTACTAGGTACATTCAAGTATGATAATTAGCTTGATGGTCTAGTGCCTAATCTGATGCCACATATAATAATAAATTTGGGTTCACTAAGTATGGTGCGTCTGAATCACAACCTAGTCAGGCCTTTATATATTGGCGGCAGGCTTTTTTTATATGTAAGCATAGTATTTATGCAGAGAATGTTGGGAACTTGTAAAAGGAATGTAGTGTTGTCGGCACATTCTACTGCCACTGCACTAACGCGAGGACCAAGGTTGTACTTCAATTACTGGTGTAGCAGCTGTCGATTGCTTGGTGCTGCAGTCTGATTTCATGTGTAGAGTATAACACGTGGTTTGCATTGCCTAACTGTATTTTCTTGGCTTTTCAGTTTTCCTGTCCTTGGCATTGCTGGAGCAGTACCGTTCACTGAAGACTGCATTCCGACCAGCAGAGCGCCTGTGTGAGCAAGTACAACACACAAGAATTCGTGTTCCCCTGGGCAAGCGTCCCTTTGAGCGCCACATCTGTCCTGCTGCATTCACTCAGAAGTGTGGCCTTTCTTATAAAGCACGTTTTTCTCGGCATTTCATCTTTTTCTTCTTAATTTACTTTCTTCACATTTCAAATCATAACTAGAACTTTCTTGTCTGTTAATTCAATCAATGGGGTGTCGGCCAAACAAAAAGACCTTGAAATTTCTCTTTCTGGCCAGGAGTGGAATTTCAACAACGCAATCTTCCCTATCCTTTGAAATCACATAGTAAGGTCGTGTAAGAGAGTTTTTGGAAGACGCTGGTTTTTTGTATGAAGATGGATTGCATTAATTACAGTTAGTGGTATGTGTTTATACTTTTAGAATTTTTATTTGAGTTTTGCTACTTTACAAAAATTTAGTAGTGCTATTTCTTCTGACTTCCAAAAGATTTCATGCCGGGCACCTCAGTTTTAATACCATAGAACGGTTTGGACTTATCCACGATTCTGGTCGCTACATTGGTCTGTGGGATTTCGCTGGCAAAGCACGGTAACACATTGTCCCAGTGGGTCGGTGCCACGCTTCTTGACTTCGGAAACAGTTCAGGTTGGAGAAGCTAAGTGAAGTTGAGCAAAGTCTCCACTCAGCTTCTTTGCTGCCCAAACGCACATGTGCAGCGGTGCGCTAGAGCATGCGAGGCGACCAAACACGGCTGTGTGGCTCGCTAAGTCCGAACCCACACTTGTGGCCATACTCCTGCTCCAGAGGAAGGCTTTTAAAACAAGCACCAAAATGATTTAAGGTGATCACACACATATACAGTGGGTACTTTTTTTATAGGATCGCTCTAGAAAGTGATGCACTTTTCGCACACTCTGTTCGCTTAGAGTACAAGGTAGAAGGGTGCACCAGCCATCTTTAATGGCTGCTGCAATAGCGTGCATGCCAGTGATCACAACCTCAGTCAAACTTCATAACACCCATCCCCCCCCCCCCCCCCCCCGCATTCCTATACTAGTTCCTTCCCGGTCCTTGAAGTAGAGCGGCGAGTTCCTCTACTTGAGTCACAGTCAATGACAGGCTTGGCATGTAGGGTGATATTAGCGCATCCGCCCTCCGTGCAAAGGAGATAGGACAGCTCTTTTTATCTCTGCTTTAGCCGCGTGTGTTGTCCGTGCTCGAGCACTTTTACCCATGTATAAAGCATACGATGTGGGGGGGAGGATGTTATTGATTGGGACAGTACGTATAACACGACAGCAATGACTACTTGCGTAGATAGGGGGGCACATCGAGTTCGTGCCCCCCCCCCCCCCCCCCTCCTATGAATTTTTTTCCACAGCATATATACTGCGAAATGATAATTTCCCAGGGCGGCCCCCTCATCAGATCAAAGTGACCCCCCCCCCAGAAAAAGTCCTGCCTACGCGCTTGGCGACAGAAAAAAAAAACAGTAATGAAATGTCCGTGTAATTGACAACAAAAATGGCTCTTGCTTTCGAGTGTCTTAGGTGTATGCATAAGGTACTCTGTGTTGTTTTTTTTTTTTTTTTGCTCCGCTTTATAGAGGACACTGTGGGGAGTTTTCGAAGTTTATACAGAACGCCTTATTCACATAAAACACCTCGGCAAACCGAAGTTAGTTCAATCATGTCGTTTCAGCGCAGAGAGTGCCAGAGGAGGTTGGCATTATGATGCAGCTGAATGACATGTTACACCTGGCAGTATAATCAGTTGTGATAGTAAAGAACCTTTCTTTATCCTTGAAGTCATCTGTGCAAGTCTCTAACATTGTACGTCACAGCGTTTTTCTACCATGTCCACTGATAACCAAATAGGTGTATTAAGAATGTTATTTCATGAAGTACAATTTTATTCAACCAGTATACTGTTCATTTGCTATGAAAATAATCACTGAACAAGTTTTTCCAGAATGCTCAGCTGCATAACGTCATTATTTTTGCATCATGAGCTGAAAATAGGGAGTTGCCCCTAAGATGACTGGCTCCATTAGATTGAAATGAATCGAAATACTCACAGCTCTTCACAAGAGCCCCAAAATAATTATTCATGTCCTTGAATGTAAATGCAACTTGTTTCTACTCTAGGTTGTGAAGTTTGCTGCTCCAGATTGCTCCATAACGTAAAAATTTGGCTGCTCCGAAGTGTTCAAAAATAGAAAAATTCTGTTACTCCAAAGAGTTCCAAAATGGAAAATATTGCTACTTCGAAATTGCTCCACATCAGAATACCTCGGCAGTATCACTACATGAGTGTGCCATCACTCCTGTTCAGGGCATGTGTAGTTGTCTGTATGTGCAGGGATTCCAGGTGCAGGCATGGATGCATGCTTTTTTTTTTTTTGCCAGAACATGCGCGCTTGTCCTGTCAGTTTAGTGGCCTGTAGATTCCACATGTTTCGAGAGGGTATATGAGGTCACGCGTTGTTTCCCCCATGTCATATTCGAGTTGTTTAACTCTTTTTTTTGAAATCACGTATCTCATTGATGTACTGGTTGTCACAATCGTGGCAGCCCATAGCATAAAGACTGTGGAAATTTTCACTGGGCATAGGCCTCCACGTTCACTAAAGCGTTCCTTAGCTTCCATGTTGGTACATGCACTAATTTGATGCCTGTTGTTTTTACATATCACACACCTTACTATCTGATTTTCGAACCACAACGTTTCTCACATCGGTAATTTGTGAATGTTTGTCTTGGCCATTATTTCAGCTCGGCTTGAAGGCCTTCTGGTTAGGTTAGGACTGCCATTAGCAGAGGCTTGCCGGGTTGTGCCATGTCTTTTAGTATTACTTTTAATATTATTATTATTGGCAATGCAACGGGAAACGGTAGCTCGCACTTCAAGGGTAGCATTGGGCGAGTTCATCTAAATTTCTCATTTCATTTTCCTGAGATGGTAGTACTAATATATCTGTGATTATTTTTAGAGTTCTGTCTTTAAAATAGTGCGTAAATGAAGGTAACCCGCTGGCATTTGTGATTCATCAATGAAATTAAGGAAGCTGTTGTGACCAAACAGATTCCTTCTTCCCGGGACATATTCAAATGTCGCCACTTTAAACGTTGCCCCCAGTTTTTATTCCATCTGAAGACTTTCGTCGAGCTCCAAGCATCAGAGCCAAGAGAGATAAAGCGTCTTTATGTAGGAGTAGACGAGTGGCGTGGTGTCTCCCCTGCATCTTTTCTAGATACGAATAAAGTTTTATTGTCATCATCAAAATGCATGTGCCCATCACAAGCACAGCTGCATTCTTGCAAAGCTGTCAGTCATTGTCAATGGAAGGGGCACAGAACATGTGAGTAGATTTTGAAAGTATGTATAAGGGAGGTTTGCAAATTGTGGAGATGCAAATCAATAGTAAATGCAAAAATCCAGGTCGCATCAAATCCAATCCACATCATGAATAGTGTAGTCAGTAAATACAGCAATCCAGATTGGTCCAATCCAATGCACATCCTAAGAGGCTGGGGCTGTAACCAAGATGGTTAAAGCTATCGTTGCTTGAGTGAGGCGCCCCTCATGTGAAACTGCACGCCGCCATCTTACCCTAGGCAGAAAGCGCGCCTTCCACAACTCTATCCGCTGCGCCCATACAGATGTTCTAGATGTTTTCCGGCGTTGTGGAGATCCGGACGTTGCAATGTACACATCAGGGCTGTACTCGGGCATTTTTTTCCGGGGTTGCTTTTGTGTAGAAAAGCCAACTTTGGCAACTAGTGGTCAGTGTGAAGCCGTGTAAATACTTTAATATCACTCAAAAAGTTAAACCAATAAAAAATTTTTAAGGGTGTCAGAACCCCCTCAACCCCCTTTTAGTATAAGGCCCTTGGATGCCCTGTGCCTTTCTTAAGGCTATGTAAATCAAGCAAGAGGGTGCTCTGGGATAACATTTCAGTTGTGAGTAGCGTATTTGGAGCTTGATTAAAACTTCTCTGTTCTCCGTATTCTTTACCATCAGAGTTTGTGTAGCTAATGATAACGCACTCAAGCCACGATCATCCCAGTGCACCCCTGTTTAGTAAACTATAAATTTTACCGATGGACAGTTTGCGTCAACAGAGAACAGCCATTGCCATTAATAATATTATAAGGTATAACCGTCCTGTTCGTTCGTCCATTCTTTGGTCCTCATCCCGCCCTACGAGGAATACCGCTGCCGGTAATTTTAATTTTCCTCCAACGAACAACGTCTATGGAGAACGGCGCCTGCAGTTCGTCGGTACCAAAATCTGCAATAGATTGCTCCAGGATATAAAATCGGCTGTTAACTTTCCTCTGAAAATAAAAAAAAACACTTCCTTGCAATCCTTAATGTGTCTATGTAACCCCTTTAATAGTAACAAAATCGTTCAAACCTTGTGTATAAGTACCACTACGTCCAGTGAAAGTTTACTGCGTAGTTGTTAATACTTATTGCTTTCTTTTGTTTGAGTATAAAAATTACATGGTTCTGTTATCTTATCCAAGTTCGAGTATCTGAATATATATGTCTGTACAATGCCTAACCTTTTTACTATATCCGCAATGTATAGCACCTTGTATCCTGGTTTAATGCCTTGTTCTATTGTTTTGCTACATGCGCTATTGTTGCCTTGTGCTATCGTTTGGATACTGTGCAATTATGTATCGCATCATTGGACCCTATTCTAGCTTTTGGCTATGGGTTCAAACAGTTCTTTGACCTATCATTTTGGAATTGAAAATAAAATGAAATAAATTAGCAATGAATGCATCAACATTGTGGATGATGGCATGCTTTTACTACCTTATGGCCCCACGGTACATCGAGGCATCCTGATCATTCCAAGCCTTGTTCGTTTTTCTGAAGGGTCTGCTTTTATTACTGCATTAAATCAGACCCCTGAACCTTTATTGTTGCCCTGTGGATCAACAGTCACATGCGCTATTGACCCGCATCTCATTGCAATTGTTACCCTTCCAAGTCAAGAAGACCTACCAGAGCCAAGCACGCCGCCACTCAACTCTCCCACTCTTCTATCGGTGACGATAAGCCCTGATCTGACAGCAGCCCAGAGTCAAGAATTGCTGAATTTATTGAACAGACATCTCTCTTTGTTTGAC